GTAAAGCACAACGATATCCCAAGGATGTAAGGGACGCGGATGGGTTGGGGGGAGAGGCGTGGCTTACATAAGGGTCTGAAGTAGGTGGAGCCGTCGGCGGTTGTGTTTCGGCTGCATGATCCTTGTCAAGCTTCCAGAAGCCGCTCCAGGGCCCATGCACCGTCACCACCGAGCGCGTGGAACTTTGGCTAGCCACGACATTCAAGTGACGCTTGACACAACCAATCTCCCCATTGCGCCTTCTGCCTGCTGTCTTTGATTGATGACTCGGAGTTTGATACCCGTCCACACGTCCCCCAGCATGCGATAGATGTGCCCCCCTGCCCACCCATGCCGCCGCCTATTCACCACCCCCGACCTGCGCCGCCATCATGTCTTCCCCCGATACCCCACGGAGATCGACCGAGAGCTTCGAGTTCTTGTCGCCGAACCCACCGCAGGGCGCCTTCCCGTTCCCATCAGCGAACCATGACTGGACAAACAGGCCCAGCTCCACGGGCGGGCGCTACAAGCCGCGACGTGGCTCAACCGCGTCTTCGATACACTCGGTTGGGGGCGCACTCGACAGCGGCTTCAAGAGCACCATGGGCGCGGTGAGAGAGCAGAGCAACAATGCCATCTCCACGTTGCTCACGCCGCCCATCATGCGGACTGGCATGGTGCCGCATACCACTGCCACAGCGACCGCAGGCCACCGCCCTCCATCCACCAAAGACATCCCGCCCGTGACTCTGACAAATGTACCCCACGTCGAGCCCTCCACCTTCAATCCATATCTGTCGCAAGTCGGCGGTTTGTACGACGCTTTTCAACGCGCAAAGGCCGAAGCCGAAGCAGAGGCCGCCCAGCCGGTGAGGAGAGGGTCCAAGAAGGAGGACGCGACTGAGTCACCAGCGGGGACACCTAATCTAGCAGGTACACCCTTCTCTTCCAACGGGCCACCGAAACCGAAGCGTCGAACGAGCGGATCCAAGCGCGCACTCCCAGCCATCACGCCGCTATCTACAATACCCAACATCTACTTCGACGAGAACTTCCACCTAGAGAACCCGCGAACCTTCGACGTAGTGAGCGAGCGATCCGAGGTGGTGAGGCCAGCGCGGACAACAAGCAACGATGATTTTGGGGCAAACGGCTCTCTGGACGTCCCACAACCTCCCGGGCGGAAAGCTCTGGCCACGAATGCGATTCTACAAGAGAAGCTATCGTGGTACATGGACACGGTGGAGGTGCACTTGATTTCGGCCATATCCACCGCATCGACGTCCTTCTTCGCCGCGCTCGGCTCCCTCCGCGAGCTTCAGACGGAAGCATCAGATTCGGTCGCGAGGATAAAAGGTCTCAGGGAAGACTTGAAGAGGCTGGATGAGCAGATGGCAATAGGAGGCTTGAAGGTCGTCGAAATGAAGAGGCGGAGAGAGAATTTGAGGAGGCTGACAGACTCGGTCGACCAGTTACAGGCTGTCATAGTCGGACTCTCGCACTGCGACGAAGCCGTTGTCGGCGGTGACCTTGAAACCGCCATGGCCCGGATAGAAGTCATCGAACGACTGATAACAGGCGCGCTGGACACGACTGATACTCAGAGCACCTCGTGGCTCGACTCTCGATTACCTCCGCAGTTGATCGATTTGCGACACTTGAGAGCACTGGACGGAGTTTTTGAGAACATTACCGAGCTCAAGTTCCGCGTGGGCAGAGGCTTTGAAGTACGCTTTGTTGACACTCTGCTCGCAGACCTGCGAGAGCACGTCAAGCGAGTTCCGGCTCATGATACCCTGGAACGATGGACAGCTGCGTCGCAAAAGGCACGCGGGGGCAACCAGAAACCGAAGACGACTTTACCAGCCTACATGACGACAGATGAAAAGCTGCGAGCGGAGCTACGAGCTAGTCTGTATGGCCTGAGCGGAGCGCAATTCACCAATCAAGCTAGCGCAACTTTCAGGGAGGCTATGATCAAAGAGATGAAAGTTCTCATCCGGAAACATTTGCCGAGCTCATCAGAAGACGATACTGGTTCTATGGCTTCTGTGTCCACAAGAGGCGGCCGAGGAACTAGTCAACAGGACAAGAATTCGATCCTTGCGCGTAATCTGCGCGCAATGGATCCTGAGGACGCCGAGGTCTTTTTCGCTAATATTTTCACCAACATTGGAGAGGCGCTCCGCCGTCTAAGCACACTGATCAAGGTGCTTCTTGATGTCACAAGCGGCGTAACTACCCCTCCCGCCTCTGCTGGTGGGCTTCGGTCTCCTCCAAGGAGTCCGTATATGCACAGTATCGATGATTACGTGGGCAATAACGTGCCAGCGCCAAGCTCCAACGACCTGCAGATGGAACTTATGCAAGCTCTAGATATGTCAAGTTTGTTAGGCCAGGCTGTCGACGCAGCACAGACACAGATCACCAAGCTCCTCAAAGTTCGCTCAGAAGCTACAGCTAATCTCCCATTGGAACGCTTCCTACGGTACTTCAACATGTGTCGGCTTTTTGCGGATGAGTGTGAAGCTGTCTCAGGACGTTCCGGTGCTGCACTTAAGGGTGTGGTGAACACCCACATCAACGACTTCGTCTCCAAATTTGCAGATTTCGAGAAGCAAGAACTGATAAAAGCAATGGATTCAGATCGTTGGGAACCGAAAGACTTTGACGCAAGCGACACTGAGGTCCTAGCACGGTTGTTGAAGGGAATGGAGAGCGACCCGCCAAGCTGGGCCGAAACTGGTGACGTTCTTCGAGAGATCGAAAAGCCGACCACAAATGGCACTTCAGTGCAAACAAACGGCGCATCCGAAGAGAAGCCCAAGGAAAAGAACAAAACCACTATCCCCGCCGTTGTGGACGAGGAGAAGTACACCATCTCCGAATCATCAACGGTCGTCCTTCGAGGTATCGAGCGCTTCGAAATCTTGGTCTCCGCCATGCCAAGTATGACTTCCGAAGTCTCTACCTCCCTTTGCGACTACATTAAGCTTTTCAATTCCCGACTTTGTCAACTGATTCTCGGCGCGGGCGCCATGCAGTCAGCTGGCTTGAAGAATATCAACACCAAACATCTCGCCATTGCTTCTCAGACACTTTCCTTCCTTGTCGCCATCCTACCTTACATCCGCGAGTGCTTCCGGCGTCGCACTGCATCAGCTTCCAACAAATCCTCAATCGGCGAGTTTGACAATGTCAAGCGCCTGTTGTACGACCAACAGAACCAAATCCACGAAAAGCTCACAGGCATCTTAGCTGGGAGGGCGAAGGTTCATATGCGCAGCCTCAAGAAAGTGGAATGGGATACTGAGGCTGAAGTCAACAAAGATGTCAGCCCCAGCATGGAGAGCTTGACCAAGGACACGGTGACCATGCATAAGGTGATTAACAAGTACTTGAGCGACATCCAGGTCCGCATGATTATGGGACCTGTATTTGAGAGCTATAGAGAGGAGGTTGGTGGTGTCATCAAGGAGGCGGCAGTGAAGACGCCCGGTGGTAAAGCACGGTACGTGACAAAGTCAATTTCGGGAAGTGTATGATAGCTGACACCACTCAGATTGCTACGCGAGGCGAAGCTATTCGATGCGAAACTCGGGCCTATCGACGGTGCTGGCAACGTTGGCTCTCATCTCATCGGCCTCGTGGTCAGCAAAACAGTCGCGCAGCCCAAGGCGGAACCCAAGGTGGAGCCTCAAAAAGAAATCGAGGAGAAGAAGAGCGAGGAAACAGAGCAGAGCACAGAAGTGGAGGCCGAGAAAGCGAGCACAGAAGCGACTTGAAGTGAGATAGCATTCGAAATCAGTTTCCAGTCGCAGCTGCTACGGAATGACGGTTACACTTCATTGGATTAGGTGACGATCTCGCGATATTCATCGCATGGTCCCGCTGCAAGGAGAGAATGACTCTTCAGTGGCCTGACCACATCACCTCCGGACTTCGTGCACATTCGGCCCCGATGAGTACTATGATGGAAGTGGCCGACGACTATACGCATCTTCACCCACATGTCACCTTTCATGTATCATCACCACCCAGCAAGGCGTTCTGGAGTCATAGAAGAAGAGCGGTCACCATGAGGCAAAGCGTCGTTGGATAGCGCTTAGTATATTGGGGTGGGATGAGGAGATACTGTTGTTATACCATTCAAGAATCATGATCTTTCAAGGCCCCCAAAGGAAATGCGGGCTTTCTGTCCATACCTTGCCCGATGTCTGCCCGCCCTCACTTCGTTTGTCATCTCCACTGGATGTAGCCCCTTCTGTAGTAGTCGCAGCGGCCTGCACACGCCTAATTGTTATCACCACTATGTCTCTGTCACCGCTGCCACCCATAACGACCACCGTTCCATCTCTTTCAGATTTCGTCTTCGTATCGTCATCGTGACCGCTCGCACTGTGCCTCTCATATTCATGTACTACTACATTATCTTTTTCCAACTTTCCTTCTTCGATGCTGGTACATGACTCCGTACGTACTTCTGCTTCGGGCTCCGGTTCCGCTGCTTTCTCCTTGTCGCGTTCTTCGTAGTCGTGCACGCGCGCTTGCAGAGCTAAACGCGCATTCATTTCCGCTTCTGAAATGCCAAGTTTGATGGAAAGTGGTTTATTCGACCAGTTCGTCGCGACTTTTCTGTTTGTGTATTGCGGTGGCTGGGAAGACATCGGTAGTTTTAGAAGGAGAAGACTTCAAAGAGAAAGAGGAAGAGGGGTCTTGAGAGACTCTAAGGATACGAAGGTCACAGCTAATAATGTGTCACCCGAGTTGTATGCGACGTGTACATCACAATCACCAGCGCGCTTTTGTTGAATTGTTGTCAATTCTTCATATTGACAGACTGCCTGCCATATACTGTCCAAACGCACCATAGTCCACTTCTTTGGAATAGAAGAGAGAAGACACATGCTAGTGTGACCGATAACCACACTGCCGGAAAGCAGTAGGGAGGACCTCGGTATCGAAATGCACACCTTCAATGCTGATCATATCTCGTCACCACATATGCTAGCCATACCTCAATCGAAGCAGATGTAGCTCTTGGTACGCGGAACACGTTGCCACTGATCCCGATCCGGTCCTTTGTTCCAGACGAGAGCGCCAAAGCATCCATCATCTGCAATACATGTCAGTTGCCTCCTTCCTAATTGGCTTCTAGCTTTGCAGCGCAGAAGATGCTGCAAGTAGAAAACAGACACACTTACCGTCAAAGTACATGCAGAAATTGCAGAAAGTGTTGCCAACAATCTCCATAGTATAGCCCGGTTTCATGTTGATACATACATTGGTCCCGTCTGTGAGCAGTTCCTGGGCGATGGGGTCGGAGTCAGGAGTGGTAACGTAACGGCCGCAGTACTTCTTCTTCGGGCCATCGGCGGCGGTCTGGACGGAGGAAGTGGGGTGAGACCGGGCGTAGGCGATAGCAGCAGCGAGGTCGGCGTCGTAGGTTGCAGAGCCGGAGACGGGAATGGTGAGCGCGGAGTGCAGCTTGAAGTCCGCAGGCGCGGCAATGACGCACAGAGCGAAGATGCACGCGAGCAGGAGGTTCATGAGATGCATCTTGGGTGTTTGGTAGTTGTTTCCTTGAATGACTTTGTTGCGCGATGGGTGGAAGGAACAGTGGGGTGAGTCTAGGAAAGACTTTACTACCTGGGAACAGGTGTGGTAAAATAGCGCGCGGGAGTCAGTGCGCTAACTGTGACACAGGTCGAGGTGATTGTCCGAGCTCGGAATGAGCGATTGAGAAAAGGCTTACTGCAATCGGAATGTGGATACAGGTGAGCGGTGATTAGCCTCAGCAAGGAAGTGGCGCATAGATACCATAGAATCACCACATTATATCAACGAGCCATAGGAGATAGTGGCATACGACCTGATGTTTTCGGAATTCTAAACTAAACGAGTGACTATAAAGTTAGTGAAAGAGAACAAAGACAAACAAAGAGAAACACCTTGCAAACAGGCATGTACACAATTGGAGTGTTGGACCCAATCTACTACATCTTCTTCTTCCCCTCACTTCAGACCCTCAGAGTGCGTGCACGTCTCATGAAGAGATCACTTCTCTACGGCTTGGTAAGGTAAGAGCGAATAGTCAAGGTCTGACACCCTAAGTTTGTGTCTCGCCCAATGTCGATCCAATCTCCCTGGTCTAGGTTATCCCCAACTTGAGAGCAGGGAACGTTGAAGACGCGAACTGGGTGATGAGATGTTAGCATACATAAGATTTTTGAACCCTTCGGCTGGGATCTATCGTGAAAAAGTTACGCTTGTACTCACTCGTTCTGTCCAGGGTGCTCTGATCGAAGAACGTAGCAGAGTATGGCCCGATCGTCAAATCCACACATCCTGCCTTGCCCACAGCAGTGTTTGGTCGGAGGATCAGCTCAGCTTTGGGTGGGAGTGTTCCGTTTTGACCGCAGCTGTTTTCGTCATAGAAACGTGCACGCACGCTTCCAGATTGCCGTGGAGACAGTGTGCCAGGAGCGGCGCTAGCGGTGGCCGCGAGGAGGGCAACGATAGTGATGGGCTGCATTTCAACGATTTTTGTATTTCTTTGGCTTGTAGTATTGGAAGTTTTTAAATGCGATTGCGATGGATGTAGTGGTAAAGCGTCATGAATGCCAGAGGAGGCCTCCTTTATACCCATCTCGCGGTAGGACTATCTCCGCTGTGCCTATAAGCGACATGCTCTATGGATCATCTCATACCATGTCCTCTGAATCAACTATCCAACAGTATATTTTACTCGCCCTGGTCACGTCCAAATCTGTTGTCGTGAAGAGTTTGGTGAGGTCAGACGCATGATAGTAAGCCATCGCCCAAGATGATTGTTTCAGTAATGAAAATGATGCTGTATGGATCTGGATCGTTACTAAATGGGCTATAAGTTATGATAGTAGAGTTTTGATATGAGCTCGTGCTGCGAAAGCTCTTTCTCGTCGGTGTGTTGTTGCTGACGCCGTGATCAGTTTCCGGTCAGGACAGGGATGCGCAAATTCTTGTCTGGCAGCATTGACGCGTTCCGAGAGCTCAAGAGGGAAGTTGCGTTGGTTCCTAGTCAACTAATGGCCTGATGGTCCATCTTTAGCCTGCTGCTACGTCACCGCTACGTGTATACTAGAGCGACTGCCGTCTCTGTACCCACATACTCGAGTCGCTAGACTCTGACCCCGTGCTTACAAGACCTCCCAATGTGACTGCGCTTGAAGCGTTTCTGCGAAACTGCATATGTCGTGCCAGCAGACTCACGACGTCTTCTGCGAGATCCTATCTAAAGACTGGCGTCAGACTCCGCGTGCACATGAGCTGCAACGGTAGATCTTGTGCAAGTATACACGGGGGCGTCCCCTAGATTGTAAATTCTTACTAAAGGAGCGACAGGAAGACTATGAAAGAACACCCGCAAGACGAGACCGGAGTGTTGGACCCGACTCATCTCACATTTCTCCTTACACCACTTAACCCCTCCATCTTCGCGACTAGACCAGATACTTTAGACCTACTGTGATATTTTGACCTTTTCAGCAGATGTGCAGCCAGTCTCATACGGCGGGACGCCATTTAGATGGTGATCCAGGAGCGGATAGCCAGATTCTTGCAGCTAGGAGCCTGGCCGGGAGCAATATCAACAAAGTTTCCGCTCGTAGTAGACGTGAGCTGAGAGCAGGGCAAGTTGAAGAATCTCACTATTCACCTCATTAGCCAAGCTTTCAGAGCCTCCTACTCATCATGAAGTGTCACATACCGGTCCTGCTGAAGTTGTTGATGTCAAAACTGGTGCTGGCGAAAGGCCCAACAGTCAGATCCTGGCATCCAGCCAGTCCCACAGTCTCGGACTGCAAGAAGACAGTATCTTCAGCCCATGGAGTGGGCCCGCAACCGTTGTCGCGGAAGAAGCGGGCGTAGACGCGAGGAGCGCCTTCGAGCTGACGCTTCTCCTCTAATTCGACGGGTGTCGCGCTTACGGCGATGGCAGTGGCGAACAAAGTGATGAGAGTGGTGAGCTGCATGTTGAAGTTTGGATATGGGGTTGCTGGGGGTATGAATGGATAGATGAATGTGGAAAGAGGGAGATGAGTTGAGATGTTGTGGTGAGATAGAGAACGGTGTACCATGCTTGCTTTATATGTCTCTGCGATGTACTCTCATCCAACAAAAGTAAGCCAATCTGCTGTTACGCACAGAATTGCTCCACCAACTCTGGTATGAAGGGCGACGCGGATCGTGCGGTTGGTGGCTTACATCGCCCAGTCGACGTTGGCCGTTTCGAGGACACCTGCCACTGTTGCGATGTTTTCATTGAGTGGCCAGGGTATTCCGAGGCTGTTCCATAGCCTTAAGGGCAACATGACACGAAAAATCTTACGTTGGTGCCTATTGGCGAGTAAGAGTATACGGGGAAGTGATGTCAAGATCCCCATCCGTAGACTCCGACTTGAGGCCAAAGTCTAGGTACTTGTTGCGAGATGACTCCAGTCAGAACACTACGCACGTTTGCTAACGTTAATGCCAGGTTTGTAAGCTCGTGATGCCGCTTGCCCCGTATTCCTGAACTCTGAGTTTCTCGCGGTCTCAACAATTTGTGAGATGAGTTGGCTTTGCAAACGTCCCGATTTGGTGCTTCGATGGGATCTTGCAAGTAAGCCGGTCGCGTGCATGCATGTACGTTCACGTGCAGAGTGACTGTATGAATGTGGTACGTTCCGCCTACCCGTGACCCCACGCAATCTTACACTCCTACCAACTCTTCATCGGGACTTCACGACGAAGACACTGAGAACGCAATCATCAACCATGATATAAGAACACACTCATTGTGGTAGATACTGGATCGCTCCATATTCTATATTCTTATAAATGAGTGACTAGAAGAGCATAGGAAATTCCTTCAAGGTCCTGAATGTATTGTGATGTGAGCCGGAGTGTTGGACCCGACTCACACTACATCGCATTACCACATAACAAAGCCTTCCTCGATCTGTCCACCAACAGGCCCCTCGTGAGCTAGAGCATCTACAAAGTGACATAAGACTTGAGCGTCAGCGTCTGGCAACCAGCCACGAAGCCCGGTGCGATGTCAATGTGGCGTCCGCTGTCAACGCTAGTAAGTTGCTCGCAAGGAATGTCGTAAAAACGGACTACACGTCATCTGTCAGCTCCTGCGAACCCGGAATTCATTACGATGCGGCTAAAACATACTTGTCCTTGTAAGCATGGTCTCGTTGAAGTACGTGCTGGGGAAGTTGAACGAAGGGGGAAAGTTCATGCACGTGCTCAGGCCGGTGGCGGTGGTGTTTTGCAGTGGGACATAGTCATCGCCATAAGGCTGGCCGTCGCGGCCGCATTGAGTGTCGCGATAGACTAAGATGGGTATAGCGTTAATACGTGTCCCGTATGTTTTTTGTTGCGCAATGTTGTCACTTACAAGTGGCGCGGACTCGGGGAACTCCCTGACGGGCCTCAATGCCGGCGGAAGGTGCGGCACTGGCGGTCATAGCCACAGAGGCAAGAAGAGAGGCGAGGACTGTAAGCTGCATCTTGGCGTTTCGGGTACTGGAACAAGATAGTATGTTTGATCGAATAGACGTTTGACTGTAATGTTGTGATCTTTCTAGACAGCAGTCGAGCTCTGCTTTATAGCATGAAGGCTATGCACCCATACATTCTGATAGCCTCAGCATACTGTATCTAACTTGCCCTTGTTACGTATAGCAAGCCTCTTTATTCTCATCATGTGTGTCACAGAAGCTCTACTCTCGAAGTCTTTCCAGTCGCCCTAGTTGGTGGCGCATGCCTTTTCCGGGTAGTCCATAGATGATTCATGGTAGAAGACCTCGCTGATGCCTTGGCAAAGGTGAGATAAGCTGCCAAGTGTTGAATTCTTGTTGACTGGTTGTTGGTTGTACTCAGCACACTGGCTTAAAAGCCATGGGTGTTGTCACATGCGTGTATAGCAGATGGTACAATAAGTCGTATGTGAGCCCGTGCTAGGAAAGATTTCGTTCAATATTGAGCTGGTTCTTCCCCTATTTGCTGAATGTGTGGTCGATTCGCGAGCTTGTATAGCGATCAAGACCGGATCCTTATGGATATGCCCACGTCTTGCGCGTTTTTGAGCGTACATATCTGTTAAGAGGTGACACGGTTTCGAGCATGCGAGACCAGTGCTGGAATAATGTCTTCTCCCGATATATGTCAGGAGGCCGAGCATCCCAGTCGGCTGGCGCGTGAAGGCCAGAGAGTTGGTCCCGAATTTTCTGACGGGAAATACCAGTCCAGGACAATTGTAGACGGTCAATGTTGGTGGTGACGAGTCATGCCCACGCGACATTCTAGATGTATCGCTGACGTTTACGCATACAGCCAATAAGAGTACTTTGGTCGCCTTATAGCAAGTCAGTCACCCACTATCCGCTGTAAGCTGACGGGTGGCGCTGCTGATCCTAAGGGCGACCAACAGCAGCCCATCAGCAGTGATCAGTGATGCGCGTGGGATGCGACCACGGAGACGCACAGACGGCCCGTCCCACCGTTTGTATTCCGCCAGGACCTCTCTG